AAGTAAACAACTCCCTGGGAGATGTTCTAAAGTTGGAGGAGCAGGGAGGAGGGTGGGCAATTGATACCACAAAAACAAAAATTTTGAGAGAGGATAGATGCTGCACTGAAATCAGCTCAGTTAAGTTGAACAGGAATGCATGTCTTGCATTCTGTGTAGGTTAAAAGTTGCACAAAATTTGGCTGGCAAGAATGGGTATTGTCTTTATAGGTTGATATATCTGTCTCCCCAACTATGTCCTGAGGCCCTGGAAGGCAGGGATGGTGTACATGTCATCTTTTCATTTTTAGGCCTGCTAGATATATTACTGCTAGAGTGCCTGGAATATTGTATATTCTCAGTAAAAGAACTTAAGTATTTGGAATATTCTAGTGAGATGTCCAGCATGCACAGAAGCCTGGAGGTGGGAAAACATGAAGTGTGTTCAGAGACCCGAAAGTAGTTCAATGGGTTTTTCCATGTGGGCAGGCCGGAGACTTGCCTCTGGTATTTTAGAAGCTTTCTCCCCTAAGCTGAAAGATCACCTTTGTGATCATTAGATGCTTTTGTTTGAGGTTTATGATCTATAAACTCAGAGATTCCTATAGTATAGGAAAATGGGGGTAATTTTAGGAAGAGTAAAGATGAAGATATGATTCAGGGGTTTAGAAAGAAATGATTCCAGGTTTTGGAAGAAATGAATAACACTGTTTGAGGGGCATATAATGGACTATTTGTGGGACTCACAGAAAATAGAACATATTTTAAGCTTTTGGGAGAAATTCCCTCCTACAGTTATAAAGTGATCCAACATTTTTGAAAGAAGAGTCAGATGCTTAACCAACTGAGCCACCCAGGTGCCCCACTGGGGGAAATTTTCAAGAGTCCATGGCATGCAGGGCTATGGGGGTAGGCAGTAGCATAGACCAGGAGTTCCTGCTGACAAGCTATGTATCCCACTGAAGGCTCGATATTTTGCTATATCTGCCTACACAAATTTTCTCTTTGTTGATTTTTTTTTAAAGATTTTATTTACTTATTTGAGAGGAATCACAGAGGGAAAGGGAGAAGCAGGCTCCCTGCTGAGCAGGGGGCCCGATGTGGGACTCGATCCCAGGACCCTGAGATCATGACCTGAGCCGAAGGCAGATGCTTAACTGACTGAGCCACCCAGGCATCCCTGTTTGTTAATGTTTTTAAAAATAATTTTTATTTCTTTAAAAAGCCCATGTCACACCTTAGCAAAAGCAAGAGAATTTCTAGGTGCTTAACTCATTAAGCCCTTTGCCAGTAGAATGAGCTCTAGGAGTAATATCAGAAAGTCTTTTGAAATGTAACAATTTAAGGAAATGTTTATTGTAAAAATTAAGACATGCTCATTATAAAAAAATCAAACTGTACAAAAAGTTTAAAGACCCAACCATATGTTCCACAAGAAACTCACTTTAGATTTAAGGAACTCACATAGGCCAAAGGGAAGTGATGGAAAAGATATTCCATGCAAGCGCCAACCAAAAGAAAACAAGGGTGGTCATATTTATATCAGACAAAATATACTTTAAGTCATAAATTGTCACAAGAGGCCAAGAAGGACATTATATAATGATAAAGAGTTAATTTACCAGGAAGATACATTAATCAAAAGTATATATGTACCCCAAATCAGAGCCCCTGAATCTTTGAAGCAAACATTGACAGGACTGATGGAGGAAGAGACGGCAATGCCAGAATAGTAGGAGACTTCAGTGCCTCACTGTCAGTACTGGATAGAACAATCACAGAATCGAACCACACTGTAGACCATATAGATCTAACAGACAAATATAGAAGATTCCACCCAAGAGCAGCAGAATATATACTCTTCTCAAGTGCACATGGAATATTCTCTAAGACAGATCACATCTTAGGTCATAAAACAAGTCTCAACAAATTTAAGACGACAAATTATACCAGGTATACTTTTCTTTTTCTTTTTCTTTTTTTTAAGATTTTCTTTATTTACTTGACAGAGACACAGCAAGAGAGGGAACACAAGCAGGGGGAGTGGAAGAGGGAGAAGCAGGCCTCCCACTGAGCAGAGAGCCCGATGTGGGCCTCGATCCCAGGACCCTGGGATCATGACCTGAGCTGAAGGCAGACACTTAACAACTGAGCCACCCAGGCACCCCATTAGGTATCTTTTCTAACCACAGTAGAATGAAACTAGAAATCAATAGTGGAAGGAGACTGGAAAATTCACAGGTATGTGGAAATGAAAGAACACACTTTGGAACAACCAAAATAAAAGACTGGCAAGGTGAATCCAACAGTCCATTAAAAGGGTAATATACCATGACTAAGTGGGATTTATCCCTGGGATGCAATGATGGCTCCACATACAAAATCAATTAGTGTGATACACCATATTAACAGGAAGGATGAAAACCACACATCTCAATAGATGCAGAAAAAGCATTTGATAAAATTGAACACTCATTTATGATAATAAGTTTCAACAAAGTAGAAATAGAAAGAAATTGCATCAACACAATAAAAGCCATATATAAAAACCACACAGCTACCATCATACTCAATGGTGAGAACTGTAAGCTTTTCCTCTGAGATCAAGACCCAGGCAGGGATGCCCACTCTCACCACTTCTATGCAGCATAGTACTAGAAGAACTCACCAGAGCAATTAGGCACGGAGAAATAAAAGGGATCCACATCAGAAAGAAAGAAAGGTAAAATTGTCTCTGTTTACAGATGACAAGACTTGTATATAACGAAAACCCTGAAGTCTACACACACAGCAAAAGAAACCTACCTGTTAGGCAAATACAGAGAACAAACTTGGTGGTTGCCTTCACAAAATGGGTGAGGGAGAGTGGGAGATAGAGGCTTCTAGTTATGGCACAGCATAGGGAATATAGTCAATGGTACTGTGATAGTGTTGTACGGTGATGGATGGGAGCTACACTTGCGGTGGGCCTAACGTAATGTACAGACACACTGAATCACTATTGTACACCTGCAACTGATGTAAAATTGTGTCAACTATACTTCAATTAAAAAAAAAGAAGAAAGTTGTTAGAACTAATAAATGAATTTAGTAAAGTTGCAGGGTACAAAATCAGCATCCAAAAATCAGTTGCATTTCTATACATTAACAATGAACTATCTGAAAAGGAAACTAGGAGAACAATCTCATTTACAATAACCTCAAAAGGAATAAAATACTTACTAATAACCTTAACTAAGGAGAAGAAAGACTTGTATACTGAAAACTACAAAACAGCGATGAAAGAAATTAAAGACAAATGCAACAACACGCCATGTGTTCAGTGAATAGAATGGTGGCCAAGGAGAGGAGGAATGGGGAGTTGCTAATTAATAGTTGTAAAGTTTCAGTTATTCAAGATGATTCAGTTCTAGAGATCTGCTGTACAACATTGTCCTTATAGTTAACAATACTGAATTGTACATTTAAAAATTTGTTAAGAAGGTAGATCTCCTGTTAAAAGCTCTTACACAACAATGTCAACAAAATTAAAAGTACACCCTAAAAAGTCCTCCTCTCCCTCCAGGCCCACAGTCAGTTCACTAGAGGAAAATGCTCTGAGTGGTTTTAATTGATAGGGGGGAACATTTCTGGGCAATAGCTATGCATACTGGAGCTATCCAGTCTCTGGATCTATCCAGTTTCTCAGTCAACAGAGATCCACCCAGCATCTCTTACGTTCGAGGCTGCGCTCTAGGAATTTGAGAGAGAGCGGTTTTCTGCCACTTACACGTCTGTCGCGCTCCCCCATGTGCCAAGTGCCTTGCCAGTGCGGCAGATTCAGCCGAGAACAAGGCAGCGGTGGTCCCTGCCATTGTGGAGCTGGCATTCTAGAAGGCAAGCAGACGGAAGACCGGAAACACAAACAAAGGCAAATTAGACTGTGGCAACCACAGGGAAGAAAGCAGCAGGGTCCTGTGAAAGGGAATAAGACAGCGTCCTAGTCCAGGGGGATGATTAGAGAACCTCTCTGAGTCAACATGAAGGGAATTGCACCAGCGGGGAGAGCAGGTGTGCACCCCTGGGGAAACAAACCTTGGCAGTGACCGAAGGCCTGGGGGGTGGCGTGTGCAGGTGGCAGGGGTAGGAGATGGGACTGGCAAGGTGGGAAGGGTTGGAGCATGCCTGGCTTTGAGAGACCTGGTAGAGTTTGGACTTACGCTACGTATAATTAGGAGTCATTGAAGCTTTTAAGTAGAGTAACCTGATCCACGTTGTTTCTAAGTGGCCCTTGGAGTGGGTAGGTTAGTAGAGGAGGGGCACAAAAGTTCAACTGAAGGGTGAGAAAAAGGAGTGGAAAGTGAAGACATGGAACTCAGTATTGTCGAAAACGCTTCCAAGCACCTATCCTGTGAATTTTAATTGAATATTTTCCTTTTTACTCATTTGTACCCTTTTCCATAGTACTCATGTATGGTCATAATAATGATTTTTAAAAACATTTCAGTTGTTCTTAGTTCATGATAGACTTCAATAAATATTTGTTAAATAAAGATTGACTAATATTTAAAGAAAGCAGTGCATGGACATTCTAGGAATAAGCCAAAAAAGCAGAACTAAAAAGGAAAACACCTTATAATTGCCATTCAGAGATAACTCTTAATATCTCTGCATAGAAGTTCCCAGTTTTTATTTATAAAAGCTCACATATAATACACAGTTTTTTAAAGATGGGATTTTTTAAACCTCTTTCTCTCTTTTTTCTCCCCCCTCATTTTTTTTCCTCCCTGACTCTTCCATTAAAATTATAGAGACCGTTAGTTACCAGGTGGCTCAGAAATGCATGTCAGCAGTAAAGCAACAGCAACAAAGTGACACCTCTTCCAGGAAAGAAACAACTTTTGGGTCTGGAATATTACTTGGTTCATTAATTCACTCAACAGAGCTTTCCAAGGCACCTTCACCAGGGGTTCAGCCTTCTGGAGAGTGAGTCAGTGTCCCTCTGTGTTGGACACAGTGCAAAACTGCATTTTCTCTTGCAGGCATTTTCGGCTTATTACTATGTGATGGAATTTTTAAACTTTACCTCAGAGGAAACCCCCTCGCAGGAAAAGATGACAGAGACTATGGAAAAGTTCTGCTCTCAGCCTTGGGAGGAGGTAAGTGATGAGAAAGAGCAGCTATGCCCTTGATGGCACAGAGGATGGGAGTCTGCTCGTCAAGTCCTGCGACCCAGACAGAGATCCAGCAAACAGGGTAGAGGAGCCCAGAGGTGCACTCAGTCCGGAGTGAGCCCATGGGCCTTTCTTGATAAGTGGGCATACACTGGCTGAAGCCAACACGGTCTTACTTTTCTCACCTGACACCGAGCCTGGCAGCCCGTGGCGCTTGTGGGAGGTTAGCAGCTTGACTCTGTCTCAACCATGCCTTCTTCAATTCTGTCGTTAGGCCTGTTTTCTTCGCGGACACAAGATGTGGCTTCAGAGATCACTTATGTTCCAGGTCAGAAGAAGGGCAGAGCCAGATACATCTGTTCCATTTAACAAGAAAGCAGAAGCTACCCCAGAAGCTCCGTAGCAGTCTTTCTCTTACGTCTCATTAGCCGGGACTGGCTGGGAAAGCAGGCTGCGGGATTTTAGGACTGGTTAGAGCCTTAGATCCAGCCTGAGCTACTTTCTGGAGCTGGGTACATTGTCGCACATTCCTCTCCCCAAGTCCCAAATCAGAGTTTTATTAGCAAGGAAGACTGGCAGTTCAGAGCCCGCTCTAAACACCATTGTGGTAAGACCCTTTCTCCCCACCTAGGTCCCAGGTACCTCCTACTTGTTCATAAATTTGAAGCACAACTGTTTCTTGTCTGAGGCACTGAGTCATTCAAGATCTAGTACTACCTGATGGAAGTTTCCAGGGAGGAGAGAGGTATGGGGTCTACCCTAATCAAAATAGATCAGCTAGGGTGTCTCCCAACGGCAGCTGTTTTAAGTTGACAGCGTTGTCCACATGAGTGGTATTTTCATTCTGAGGAGGTGTAATTAACTAGAAATGGATGCAGTCTCCTTGGCGCTGACAGAGGAAGGAAGGTTGTGCAAGAGCCAGAGGCATGGACTTCTCCCTCCGTATTTTGTCTGAGTTAAAACAGGAAGGAAGAAGATTCAGGACTTTCCAAAAGAGCCCCTCAAAATGCCACAGCACTTGACAGTTTGCAAAACACTCGAGGGAGGCTTTTTGCAGCTGGTAGTGATCTATGGACGAAGGTGAGCATCTTGGAGTCGAGGCAACTTGAAACAACCCCAGTGTATGCCTGTGAAGGAGGTAGATTTAAACTGCTTTTTGGAAAAAATTATTTCTTTCTTTTTTTTTAAGTAAGTTTCACACCCAGCGTGGAGCCCAATGCAGGGCCCAAACCCATGACCCTGAGATTAAGGCCTGAGCTGAAATCAAGAGTCAGACACTTCACTCACTGAGCCACCCAGGTGCCCCTGGAAAAAAATTACTTCTTGTTCAGAGTGAAAGCTCTATCACATTTTGTTTTCTTACCCTTGTCTGTTTTTTTGTTTTGTTTTGTTTTAATTTCATCAGGTTACATTAGGTTGGCAGTGCCTATATGCAGACCTGTATGGGTCCTGGAAGTAGACTCGTTAGGGCCTGCACCTGGGAGAAATTCTGAAATCTTTGGCAGGGGATGGGGGGAGTTGCAGGGTGAGACCTAGACCCTCACCCAGAGCCTTGATGTTGAGGTGGGTGTTATGACCCAGGGTTCATTTTCCCCAACTGCATTGTCTGTCCAGGTGGAATGCATAGGTTTTAGGTACGCTCTTACAGGGCAACTCTTTTCCTGCTACGCCTGTGTGACTGGAGTTTGGGAATGTCCTGTCTAGACACCTTTGGCCAAGAGAGAACTGACAATTTTTAGGCATATGTTATGTGCTGAAAAGTGAGCTAGAAGCTTTGTACATCTTATATCGTGCTGCCTGCCCCTGCTTTGGCGGGAGAAATAAAATGCAAACTACACCTACTGATGTCCTCCAAATCCTTGCGGGGGCCCCCAGTCCTTGGATCCCTGAGGAGGAGAGGTTAAGAAAGTGAGTGAAAGGGACATTTCATGCTTGTCTTCTAATAGGTTAATTAGAGGGTTGGTAACCCTCTAATTTTGACAACCAAAATAATCACTTTTCCACGCAGAAAATATGTTTGCTCAAGATCTCTGGTCAGCCTACAATGCTGTAGGATTCTGTGTATACTACTAACTAGGGTTTCTCTGTGTATTCTGGGTCCTGACATTCAACCTCATGGACTTTTACCCTTTCTAGGGAAATGCATCCCGTTCTTGAAGACTTGCCATGCCCCTTCATATGGGGGAGTGGTAAGGGGCAATGGGCGAGGAGGAGAGAAGCTGGCACTGTCCCACTGCCCTAGGAATAGAAGGGAGAGAGGAGAGAGACGCAGAGAGAGGCGTATGAGAGAGAAAGGCAAACCATCCCCCCATATGGAGAGAACATAGTGTTGAGTCCACAAAGCATTAAGACGATCAGATCTGGACTGATGAACCAGGTAGATGCCTTTGGCTTCCATATTTTTTGGCTATTATCATAATTAATCCTCAGCAGATTAGACTGCTTGGCAATGTACACCTTTCCAGGAGGAGGAGGGGGTAGGACTTTGTAGAATTCAGGAAAATTAGACCAAAACGGCATTCCCCCAAGGGATAGGCCAGCTTTTAAGGACCTGTGGGTTGCAGCAGTTTCAAGTCTGGCCCGAGTGGATTCTTGGACTTTCATAGTGGTTTTTTGTTTGATGGGCCTGCTGAGACTACATCAAATAGGAGAAGTCTTTCCATGAAGGAAAAAAAGAGCGCAGTTACTGTAAGAAGGGGGTAGGATCTGGATAAGCACTGATGTTACACCAAGGTCTTGGGAAAATGTTCCATGCAGAGGAGTTGATCAAAGAGTAGTTTCTAGGACTGTGAGAAAAAGACAAGTTCCAGGTTGGGTCATTCAGAGAATTCCATCAGAGCAGGCCAAGGCAGGCTAGGTGTGGACTTAGCCTTCCAGAGATTGGGGGCTGGCAGAAACCAAGTGAGAAACCGACCCCAGCTGGCAGGGCATTTAGAGATGGGGTGTTTCTTGGGAAGAGAGAGAAATCTGGGCAGAAGTGGGGTGGTGGTGTGGGTGGGCAGGTAGCCAGGAGGTCCTACATATAAGACATCTGGCCTGATTCTTAGTCCTTGATATATGCTTAACAAATGTTAGTTCTCTCTCTGCCCAGGGTGCCCAGGAGGGAATGCCTATTTCAAGGGCTGAGGAATAGGGCAGCAGACAACTCTGGGCTGAGCTAGAGATGTTCTGGCCTGTTGTTCTCTTATTGAGGGTCAGAGAGGAGCAGAGCAAGCTGTGGGCATCTGGGCATATATTTAAACAGGAGGAGAGGTAAGGGTCAACAGGCAGCTTTCATTTGGGAGTAGGATGAGCAAACACATGAAAGACTCAAGAAGACCCCTTTGCATGACTTATAAGCAAAAAAAGAGGTCAGGTAAGGGCTGAGGGCAGAAGGTGAGATGTTGGCACTGTTAGCAGTCCTGAGCAAAATGCGTCCTAAACTGTGTTGTAGAGTATCTCAAACATTACTGGGCATGTGATCACCTGGGGATCGCATTAAACAGCACATTCTGGATTGGTAATTCTGGAGCGAGGACTAACAAGCTCCTGGGAGACCCTGACGCTGCTAGCCCAGGTGCTAACCTGAGTGCAAGGCTTTTTTTTTTTTTTTTTTTTTTTTAAGATTTTATTTATTTGAGACAGAAAGAGCATGAGTGGGGGTAGGGGCAGAGGGGGAGGGAGAAGCAGACTCCCCGCTGAGCAGGGAGCCCCATGTGGAGCTCCATCCCAGGACACTGGGATCATGATGTGAGCCGAAGGCAGACACTTAACGACAGAGCCCACCCAGGCGTCCCAGGAGTGGCAAGGCTTTTTATGACACTCTTTCCTTAACATGCGTCAGATGCACTAGTTCCTTCAGAGGCTCTGAACTCAGACTCTGGTCAAGAACATAGAAAAGTCAGGGGCACCTGGGTGGCTCAGTTGTTAAGCATCTGCCTTCAGCTCAGGTCCTGGGATCGAGCCCCACGTCGGGCTCCCTGCTCAGTGGGGAGCCTGCTTCTCCCTCTCCCTCTGCCTGCCGCTCTGCCTACTTGTGCGCGCACTGTCTCTCTGACAAATAAATAAAATCTTAAAAAGAGAACATAGAAAAATCTATTAGACTGATGGATTTCTTTCATGCAAGATTTTTCAGTTTTTAAAATGCTAACGTGATTGTGAAACAGAAGTTTCAGAAGGGGTGAAGCGGTATCCTGCAAGTCCGTGTTTCGGAAACTACTAGGTCACGGAAACCACTGTTTTCCTGGAGCATTTGTTAAGATCCCACAGAATCCAGTGGAGGAAAAGTTTCCTTAACAGACCCTAAACTATAGCCCTGCCCCCACTGAAGGAGTGCAGCCCCACTGCCAGGGCTCTCTGGAGAAGCCCACGCTCGCGCCTGGGTGAGCTGGGCCTTCCCTTGTCTTGATAAGCTCTAATGGCGAAGAGGGCTGTGAGTAGGTGCCTGTTTACACGAGTGAGATTTCCTTCCCTTCCCTTCCAGCTGAAGACCTCTTTTGGTGACGTGAAGGAGAAGTACCTGAGTGAATACTGCTTTTCCGGAGCCTACATCCTATCTCTCCTTCTGAGTGGCTATCATTTCACAGCTGATTCCTGGAAGAATATTCATTTCATGGGCAAGGTAATTTGGGTACTTGTCGGGTTGTGGGGAGATGGGGTGACGGAGGCAGCTTTGGGCTTGAAAGAGGTAGGAGTCAGCCTGATGTCCTGTTCTACCATTTCACCTCTAACCCAAGCAGATATTTTGTGTCAAGCCTTCCTATGTTGAGGATATCCTGTCGAAGGAGAGCTACCTGCCTTCTCAGCCTCGCCTTTCTGCTCATGTAACAGTGACTAGATCCTTATGAAACAGTGAGATATTAAACGTAACCGTATTTCAGTAGCCTCAATGATTCTGTTCACTGACTTCAACATCCATCCCAAAGGCCCCTTCCATGATCTGGAACTGATTATTATGGCTTCTCATAAGGGCTGACGGCCTTGTTGGTTGTAGCTTCAAGGTTCACTAATCTGCAAGCTGAGCATAAAGGAGATGAGTGACTCTGAGTGGGGGTCTTTGCTTAGAAGTCAGGTTTAGCGGGAGCCTTACACAAGCAACCTCACCGCGGTGCTTTGCCATAGCGCCACCTGCAGGCATCCAGGCGTAGAGAAACATTTACATTGACTGATGAGCAACTCCTGCTTGAAAAGTATCCAGAGCAGTGCTTCTCTGCCTTTTAAACCCATACCCACTAATGGCAAAAACAATTAACTCCCTTTATTAAATATGGTGACTTCAAGCAAAGCAAAAGATTGAGGCAGAGGGCTGTAGCAGCCTAAAGGATACTATTTTCATTACACTCTTGTTGATACTGACTTTGCTAATCCAAATACTAATCTTTTCCTTGATTTAATCCTTAATCTTCCTCTCATCACAATTTTTTTTCTCTGAATGATATGTCTATGTCAAATTTGCGAGTGATTTACATTCTTTGGACTTCAGTGAATGATCTAGTATTTCTAAACCATAGGTGGTAACTCCTCTAACTCTGGAGCTTTCCTTGATACAAGCCGTCAGATAAGGTTCCTGCCCCCTCTAAAGGGAAGCAGACCTTTCACAAATTATTAATTCCTGGTCCTGGTAAGGGTTAAAGGGAGAGGGGCATTTCCACATGGAAACTGGTTGGAATGTCAATTGGCACAATCTTTGGAGACTGTTTTGGCAATATATGCTAAAAGCCTTAGAATATGAATGTCATTTTATCCAATTACTTCATTTCTAGGATTTATAAATAATTGGATAAAGTGAATAAAAGTAAACATAGAAGGCAGTTCATGCAGTGATGATCCTTTGAGACAGGGGTTGATGTTTAGAGAGGTATTGTTAAGTGAATAATCCTACATATAATGTGCACAGAGAAGACTGGAAGGATGTGTCGCAAGAAGATGATAGCAGTGACTTCTGTCCGAGTGGCGAAATGTAGCTGGTTTTTATTTTCTTTTTTAGGATTATCTGTATGTCCTAATTTTTCTACCATGACCATGCACAACTCATGTAATAAAAACATTTTCAAAATTATTTATTATTCACAGACTATCTACATTCTAATATGTTTGGAGGTGACTGGAAAATACTCCTAGGAAGATGGCAGGGCCAGAGCATGTCTTATCATTTAGGAAGAATCCTTTCTCAAACATGTGTACAGTCTTCCAACTTCCATAAAGTAACACTGACTTGCTGGGATTATTTCCCAGTCTTCCCTCTTTGAATCATAAAGACATCCTGGTTACATAAGGATGAGATTCCTGGGCCTGACGTAGACATAAGAGACCAGGGACAATCATTATTCTCTTATCCTTTGCCTGCTTTCTGTCACCACCCTGCCTTCTACACTTTTCCCTCCACATTCACCCTAACAACCAAAGAGGAATGCAAATCTCCAAAGGCTGTTCAAAGTAAGTTCTACTAGGCAGAGGCAGGAGACTTGGGCAGTTATTTACCAAATTCCTCTGAATTTCAGGAATAGAGCAGTGAGACTCCAAACTCTCCCTCATCACTTGCTTGGGCTCCATTTTCCCCACAACCATATTCCCAGCTTAGAATGTAGAAGTAATGCAGTTAGAGAACTGAACGTGGTGCTCTCCACCTCCTGTTGCTCAGTGTTATGGATGCAATTGCATGAAAGCTCATTTCATCTTCAAACCAGAAACAACAGCCTCTCCCCACTGTTCGCAGATCCAGAGCAGCAATGTCGGGTGGACTCTGGGCTACATGCTGAACCTGACCAACATGATCCCAGCTGAGCAGCCGTTGTCCACACCTCTTTCCCACTCCACCTATGTCTTCCTCATGGTCCTCTTCTCCCTGATCCTGGTTGCAGTGGCCATTGTTGGTTTGTTTATCTTTCACAAGCCTTCATATTTCTGGAAAGACATGGTATAGCAGGAGCAGCTGAAATCTGCTGGCTAGAGTGAGAAAAAAACTTGCCCAGGGAGCACTTTCCTCCACAGTGGTGTACAAGATCATCCTTCCTTGCTCACCAAGGCCAGTCTTGACCAGCATGAAGCTTCCATGGCTTTTGCTGAAGCCTTTCCATGGAAGGTATTCACCACCTTCTGCCTCAAGGACTACCCAGAAGACATCGTCTCTTTTGTGAGTCCTTCTCAACTCCCCTTTTCTCTTTTGTACTCTGTGCTTGTGTAGGTCTTAAAGACCTGTTACTTTTCATGATCTCTGCTTTATAAAAAAAACAACCATGACTTTGTCCCGAAGAACTCAGTCCTGGGTCCGGTGCTGGCAAGTTGTGCCGGCTAAAAGATCTCAGGAACTGGTTCACTTGTACTTAGACCCTTTCTTTCTCCTATTGCCCATTTATTAAGAATGCCATACAATGCCTTTGGAGAGGGCAGACACACATCTCATTCCCATCCTGCCGTTTGCATAGGAGAATTTTCTAGACTAGACAAATATGTGCTAGGGCCAAAGAGTCTTGCAAGGGAACTTACGTGCTTGTATCGTTTATACGATACTCAATCCAATCCAAAACAGGGATGTGGATTAGTTATATATTCCTCAGTGATGCCAAAATGCTATGGAGTGGGACACCCCCCCCCCAGACCAGAGATTTTTTTTAAAAGCTAATGTAACATATAGGCATTCAGCTATCAGGGCATACTACATGGTAGGTATACATGTCAGGAAGAAAAATACAATTACAATGAAGAGTTTGGAAAATGCATCCTTCAGTGCATCTATTGGGGTTTTATTTTTATTGTAGTCATACATATATAACATAAAATCCACCATTTTAATGTGTACAATTCAGCCACCTTTTGCATATTCACAGTGTTGTACAACCATACCACCATCTAATTCTGGAATATTTTCCCCACCAAGAAATTAGCTGGAGGCAAGACCATCCCTGGGTAGGTTCAAACCACCAAACTTCCAGTTAACAGCCAAATATGCTCATCAGTTGTACCACAAAGATGCCCCTTGAGTTTTAAAGCCAAGCCATATCTTTTTGTCCCAGGGTTTAATGTAGTGGGAGAGCTGCAACATGCCTTTCCACTGTCATGGTGTTTGCTCATCAAAGTGTGCCAGGAACCAGATCTGAAAGTGTGCTTGCCACCCCTGTCGCACAAGTATGGGCTCTATTTACTTATTCCATGGACTATTTGGTGGGAGAAGCAGCAGCTATGGACCTTGTCACAGAAACATGAAGAGACCCTATACTTTCTTCCTTTAATGATTGCTGTGAGCAGGTGGAATGGTGATGTGTCACTCCGAAGTTGTCCCAAGCTCCCCATCTCTGGATCTGGGGACAGACTGCTGAGCTGATTGATGTAGGGTGGGACTGGGGTGAGGAAGGAAAAGCTTTCCCACGAACTGGAAGCCAAATGTCCTAACACTCTTGAATAACCAAGTCATTTTTTACAACATCAAGGTGAATACAAGCTTATAAAGCTGTGGGCAGGAAGTTTTTCTTTTCTGCTACTCACAGTTGAATTTGTTGTACTTGGATTAGGAACCCAAAGCCAAGTTTGAACATGTTTAAACTCTTTCTGCTAGTGCTAGTGGTTATATTGTTACACTTAGTATTTATTGAGCATTTGTTGTGTCCCATGCTCTGTGCTCAAGTGCACTACATTCATTTTCTCATTTAATCCTCACAACAGTCTGAAGGGAGCTACTACCCTTCCCACTTCATAGAACCAGAAACTGAGGCTCAGATAGGTTAATTCACTTGCCCAAGTCGCTGACCTGAAAGCCTGCAATGCACTTAACCATTATTTTCTTTCCCAAATATACTAGACTGTCTCCTTGTAACTTCTAAGCACACACTTAACTCTGTATGAATACAGGGCATGAGAGAGAGGGAAGTAGACAGATGACCTGTTCCCTGATGGACTTCGTGATTTAATATTGCTTTAAGTCCACAAAGGCTGTCATGGCAACACTGATATTCTGTTCACATACTATGGTAACGTACATGGAGTATGATGCTAATCAAGGATTTCCCCATATTCCTGGCTTCTTAATTATAATGCTTGCTCCCTGCACAGCAATTCTGCATCAAATAAAAATGAAAATAAAAGGTCATAAAATAGAGCCAACGGCAGCTTCCTTCTTCCTTATGTCTACGTATACAAAGCACTGTCATGCACATTCTCTATTCTAATAAAACCCCATGAGGGTGTAAGTACTATTTCCATTTTATGAATGAGGGTCACACAAACTAATAGATGATAGAGTAGATATGCAAATTCATGTCTTTTGCCCCAAGTTTATTGTTTTGTCTTTTCTAAACACTGCCCCTCAGGAAGTTAGAATTAGAATTCACCAGTTTCCTTCAATAAACTGAAACCTTTTCTTATTCCATTTTTGTCTTGCAGCCTGGGTCCAAAAAAAAAAAAAATCCATTAAGGTATTTGGGAGTCAAATTCCACTTGTTTTAAGTCTCAACTCATGGAGATGATCAGCTGGCACAACCTAATCTCATTTCCTTTGGAGGGAAACATGGTTTTGTGTCAGATTCAGGAATCTGCTTTGAGCCATTCTAGATGAGAAGGGCCAAATAAAATAGGTCACTGTCAACTGATTTTAATATTGAATTGGCCACTGGTTATAAATGATTACCATTCCTTCCCAGCCATTCACCTAAACTTGGTTCTACCATTCCTTTAGAAGGTGGGTAACTTTTTTCTATGAACCCATTAAGGGGAAAACATCAGAAATGGTTACTTCTGTAGACAAAAGAATGAAGTTACTTGACTAGGCTTGTGTGTGTGTGTGTGTGTGTGTGTGAGAGAGAGAGAGAGAGAGAGAGAGAGAGAGAATTTTCACTTTACCCAATTCTTAATAAGAAATATAAAATGTAATATAAATAAAAGCTTTTAAAAGTACTTCATTCTGGGGCATCTGGGTGGCTCAGTCGGTTAAGCGTCTGCCTTTGGCTCAGGTCATGATCTCAGGGTCCTGGGATCAGCAGGGAGTCTGCTTCTCCCTCTCCCTCTGCCCCACCCCACCCGACTCGTGCTCACGCTCTCTCACTCACTCTTTCAAATAAATAAAATCTTAAAAAAAAGTATACTTCATTCTAATGTTGTATCAGTCAACAAGTAAAAGAAGGTGCAATCAAACCAGAGAACTAAGAAGAGTTTAAGAAAGTGACTATATCTGGGGCACCTGGGTGGCTCAGTCGGTTAAGCGGCTGCCTTCAGCTCAGGTCATGATCCCAGGGTCCTGGGATTGAGCCCTGCATCAGGCTCCCTGCTCAGCTGGGGGCCTGCTTCTCCCTTTCCCTCTGCCTGCTGCTCTGCCTACTTGTGCTATCTCTCTGTCAAATAAATAAAAATATCTTTAAAAAAAAAGTGACTATATCCAAGGTATTATCATTTCAACATGTAGTTTACATAAAAACTATTAATATTTGTTTCTCATATTAAGTTTTGAAAGCTGTTGCATATATTGCAGTTACAGCACATCTTAATCAGGACTAGCTACACTGCAAGTGATGGAGAGCCATGTATGACTAGTCACTACTACACTGGACAGCACGTGTCTAAAAATACATTCAAAGCTAAAAAGACACAGGCAATATTTTGTCTTTCTATTGAGGGGAAATTTAAAAAAAAAACAGCTATAGATACTGTAACATCTTGCTATTATTTATTATATATGAAGTTAAAATATTCTTAGACATTATTCTTCTTTAAGATCTCAGCTCTGAATTTCACTTTACTCCTCAGATTTTGTTGCCTTTTTTGTGAAGGCAGAGATGCCTGTTATTCAGGCCAAGACTCCTGCTGAAAGACCTTTGGAAAATGCAATCTGGATTCAAAGATGATACAAGATAATTTTGATGATTATATTCTATAATCAAATTGTAAATTTGAACATTAAAATAAATATGTTTCTTAATAGCTCACAAAGATTACCATATTGTTATATTAAAATTACTATTAAAATATATTCTCATTTATTGTCAGTTTGAAAGATGAGCTGAATTTCACCCAGACTGGTCTGGTCCCTCTCTGATTCAGATTCTAATAGCTGCTATCTTGTTAGAATAGGACAGTTGCTTATGGTTAGTTGTGCTCACTAACCATATTTCTTTTCAGTTTGTGTGAGTTTTATCTTTTAAACTTATTATAACAACCTTAGAGTTTCAGTGGCTTACCACAATCAACTTTTTCGTGTTCATGGATCTGCATCAGCTGGGTAGTGCTCCTTCAGGCGGTAGGTCTGGTTCAGGCCTGCTCCTGTATCTTGTATCTCTTACAAAAAACGAATGGCAAGGACACCAGAGAGGAAGACGGAACAGGATGCCTCTTACAGCCTTGGCCAGGACAGGCCCCTGTCACTCTCATCTACATTCTACTGACCAAAATAAGTCATACGAACAAGCCCAACAATTAGCAAGTTGGAGAAATACTGGAAGGAATGGCTAGGTCATATGGCAAAGGACATGGATGACTCATTCTAATACAGAAGAGGAGTGAAACAATGGGCACAGTGATTGAACCTACCACAGTGTCTCATTAACTAAAACATAAAGGGTGTTTTCTATCAATTACAGTCCACTTATCTTGCCAAGGAATATTTTTTAAAAATGTCATTACTTCCAAGATGTCATCAGTCTGCAACTTCTTTCCACAGCCTTCATCAGGATGCTGTAGCAGCTCGCAAATTAGCCTCATATTCTAAAAAAGCCTCTCTATTCTGGATTTCCTAAGAGAACATAGATCTGTTTAAATTATTTTATGTGTTTAGGACAATGTGTAGTTAACTACCCAAGTTTTTATTTGTACATGAATCTAACACAACTGAGTACATTTGGTTTTATCACAGGGAGAATGGATTTTTTAATGGGGGAAGGAGTATCTCCATGAACCTTCTCTAGGAAAGTGGCATTTAAGACTGTACATGTGAGAGAAGCA